GTACTTATCCTGTGCCATTATTTCACGTACTCTAGTTCAATTACATACTCTTTCTTACTATCCTAAAAGTTTGAAGCTCAAGAATTGGAAATGATTGACCTCTGTTCTCTTAATATGACTATCCACACTGATACACTGGAGTTTCGGTATGCCAATAAGCATACAGATTCTTGTTCCCCTTGCGATCAATCCTTCGCTGTCTCCGACTCTCCTCCTTCTGAACTTTTTCCGTAAATCTGTGCTGAGTGACGATCAATGATCGTTGCTCAGATGCAGACAGATGCATCAAAGCGTTGCGGTCGCCGGCACTCATATTTGCGAGTTGATATGTAACCGTAGCCTTCTGCCGTCTTTCTCGTCTCGATAGTAGCCTTGTATCGGAAGTATCCGGTACATGTTCCTCGTGCATAGGAATTTCCTCATCGACTTCGACAGATGAATACTCGAGTTGAGATCTAGGGGTCCTCTTGCGCTCGCGCACCTGGGCAATTGATGGCTCAACTTGTGCTGATGACTTTTTAGAGATGAGACGTCCAGAGGGCAGGCGGATGGAGTCCTGGTCAACCTGTAGCGGCTTCCGGCTGGGTATCACTTCAGCGCCCTCAAATTCGTCCTCATCGTCTTCATCCAATGCATCATCTTCCGTATGACGATCTTGGCGTGAAAAGTCGTAAAAATCGGCAAACTCTGATCCTTCCGACACGTCGAACTTGCAATGTCCTTTACCCATCATATGCTGCTGCACAGCTTGAACTGTAGCTCTGCTTGTCCCGCAGTGTATGCATTCTCGGTACTCATAGATAACAAGGTGAATATATCTGAATAGTGTCTCGAGATCCACCAACAGGTGCTGTCTATAGGGGACGAAGAGGCCGTGTGAAGTTTGCATGTGAATGATGCTTTCGGCTAGCGTCGGGTAGACAGAGGGACAAAAGAGGCATTGGCCTGGCGTGAATGATTGAGGAGCTGGAGCAGACTCGTTGATAGACATGATGTATGGTGTCAAAGGGCTAGTTTCTTCGGATAAGAGTAGGCTCATGGAAGGGGTAGTAGTTGTTGTAGTAGTGGTGGTTGTTGTTCCTAGCATGAGACTGAGTAGTCGAGGGTTAAAAGAGAAGGCTGGGTCGATGCTTTCTGAAGCTTAGGACTTGTGAGTGTTCTTGTTGATTGTGTTTTAATTACTGAATATGATGGGTAGAGCATGCAACCTTTATAGAACTATCCATTGCCTTCCGTATTCTCGATCCTTAGTGCAGGTCCAAATTTGATCAATACGATTGGGCAATGGAGGTGAGTCAAAGGAATGGACCTAGGCTCTTTTAGGGTAATCGTCCTGATGATTCATAGTGATTTGTTCCCCCGCGGGGCCGAGACTCCGGCTCTAACAGGACCATGCTCAATCTTGGCTGAGAACTGTTAAGGATGATGTTGCTCACCTGCGCCACCATGAATTTTCGGACGCAACTCCACGGGGCCCCGGACCCGAAGAGCGAGAGTGCGAAGTATCGCCATACCCAAGCCTGTATAGAACTAATTGAGTGCATATCAAATTAAATCCCCGGTAATAATTAAAGCCATGTAGTTTAGTGTAAGAAAAATTGTAAAACCAGTACTGTCATTTTTGCTAGGTAAAGAACATCCATTCAAATTGCGTCCCTAATGCAATCCAAACTCCTATACTCCCAGTCATTCTTTTCCATCACGAACCTCTTATCACTATTCCCGGATCACTCTCTCAAAAGTCGAGTCCACGTGAGCCTGGACCTTATCAGCCATCTTTTCCCTCAATCCAACCAAAACCTTCTCATTATCCGCAGCCTCACTCTTATTATCAACCAAAAACACACCACCAGCAGATCGAGCCGCCCTGCTCAAACCCTCGGGAATCGGCGTCGCCGCGTTCTCAGTCTCCTCAACAGTATACCTCGCATTAGTCGCATAAAACAACGCCCTAGCACCAACATCATCAGGACTAGCAAAGAACAAACCCCCAAGCGGTGTAACAATCCACCGGAGCAAAAATCCAATAATACCACTTGAGCCACGAGAAAGCAGTGGTGTAGCTGTAAGACCGGGGAAGGCGTGCACGAAGCTGATCTTGGGGTTTTCTTTAGCGAAGCGCTCGAGAGTAAGAGTGAGCATGGTGGCTGCTTGTTGAGCGGCTGAAGCGACGCCGAAGTTGCCTGGTTTGGAGAGATCGAGATCATCTTCGATAAGGAGACCTTCTTGGCCGCCGGCGAGAATGTTGGTGACGTGAGGGTTTGGGCTGTTGTTGAGAAGAGAGAGGAAGACTTGGATGGCTCTGACGCGGCTGTAGAAGCGGGTTGTCAAAGAGGGCTCTAGCTTTTCCTTGGTTTCTGGATATTGTTAGTCGACTGAAAAGACAGAAAAGTTGACTTGGGCTCACCTTTTCGACCTTCAAAGGACATGAACCCGACAGACATGAACAAAATGTCAATTTTGGTCTCTCGCTTAGCAATCTCCTTCATCGCCGCATCGGCTTCCTTGACGAGAGAAACATCGCGCTCAATGAATTCAATCTTGGCGGATGGGTTACTTTGTCGCAGTTCTGCGATGAGAGGTGTAGCGGCTGAAGTGCTTCGACCAACGATGTAGATTGTTGGCGATTTGTTATCGGTAGCGACGGTGAGCTGCTTGATTGTGCTGCGACCAATGCCGGAAGTGGCGCCGAGGAAAACCGCTGTGAGATTTTGAGGGAGAGATTGGGGGAGGACCGATTGGTTGGATTTCTTGATTGTGTTGATTGCGACCATTTTGGATGATGTTAATTGATGTTGTGAATATATATCGTTTGATTGAATGGGTAGATGAATGTTTTAAGAGTCAAGTTGTTGTTGTTGGTGAATGTTGATGAGAATGTTGATGATGAGATTCATTTCGACAAAGATACCCCTCACTTTAATACCACTTCACCTGCACTCATCATTGTCAGAATGACAATGATTGTCTCAAAGTCAGCCCTATTCGCGGGAATCGGATATCCGTCGAACAGCGCAAGCACAGGGAGTCTAGCGCCTGGGGAATGCCGTCAGAAATGTCAGCTTCACTTGATTGGCTGCGGGAGAATCCTTTCGGTTTTCTTGGCGTTTCCCGAGATTTTAGTGCGTCATGATAAGCTTGTGATTGCTGACTACCCTGATCTCCCCCGGTGCTGCGGATATCCGAAAAATCATTTTACGGATATTGAAGATATACCGGGACAGAACCTCTTTTGACGTGCGCCAAAGTGACAGTCCTTGATGTTCGGCGTTAATCTAACGTGGATCTATCCATTTGTATCCTTGTTTTTCGTATTTTCCCAACAGATCGAAGAAGCTATCTACTACAACGTCAAGGCCTGAACTATGGTGTACCTTCATCGTCCATACTATTCCAGATATCAAAACCATCATGCTTCATCGGCTTATGCCATTTATCGTCTTTAACCCCCCCAAACTTCAACTGTCCGCACGGCCCATTGCTGAAAGTAAACCACGGCGCAGTAATCGGATCCAACACCTGCCAGTCGGCCAAGTACCTTGCGTACAGCGGTTGCGCCCCATCCATACACTGCCGGATGTTGATGGTAAGGTATATATAGCACGAGTGCGGCACTTCTCGTTTTGCGCCGGGGGGTCTTCCCCAGAAGCTGATGCGGCAGTATTTGCGCTTCATGCACTCGTTACAGCAGGCGATTGCGTCGCTGACTTTGATTTCGGTGGGGTTTACTTCGTGGTTTTGGCGCGAGAATTCCTTGATCATGCGTTTGTCTGACGGATTATCTCCTGGCGCCCAGGAGAGGTAGTTGGAACTGCCGGCATCGCAGACTTGGTAGTGCGTTTCCTGGGGAATTTGTCTTTCCAGCGTGACTTGAAGCAAGTCAATACTGTAGGGAGTAACATATGGTTTCGTACTTACCCTTCTCATCAACGGTGACAGTTTTGGTGGCGTTGATAACTGCCGTCTGGATGGGATAAACAGTAGTAGTCACCGTGCTAGCAAGGCCAGGAGGATATTTAGTCTCATTGATAGTCGTCCAGACCGTCACTGTGCATGTCGCAATAGAAGGCCTAGGAAGTGTTGGTGACTGCGTTCCGAAGCTGGTGGTGGTCACAGTCCTCTTTATCGGCATATTATCAGTGCATATTACTGACAGAGTATGTGAGAACAGCTTAGCGTCTAACCCGACCGTTGTAGTTTTCTCTTCTAGTTCAGAAGATATACTTTCCATGCTATCTCTAATGGCGGTAAATCCAGGCCGTCTACCAATTGTCGTGGTAAAATATGTCGTGGTCGTGACGGTAGTCCTGTTCGTCTCCGTCTCCGTCACGGTTTCTGTTCGGTTGACAAAGCTCGGCTCTTTGATAAGAAGTCAGCTGTGATAATCAAAAGTTATGCATTTACTATATGTACTGGTAACTGTGATAGTAGCTATTTTGGCTTCAGGGTTTGCAGTCACGGTAACAAGCTTCGTGAATGTCGCTCTGATGGTCGTTGCCGTAGTGATACCCACAGTGCTGATGGTCTTGTCGGTCACAGGTAACCCAGTCGGTCGGGTTTTAGACTTGCTGATGTTGAGAGGAACAGCTTGAATGATAACTTTGTCGGTTATGGTTATCGTTTGAGACCTGGTTGTCGTGCTGGTGCAGATGACATCGACGGTACTTGATCCAAGAGACGTTTCGCAGGGACCATTGGCACCGCTTCTTGTGCTTAGGGTGAGAAGGCCCAGGAGCAGCCAAAAGGCTACCATGCCGTCGAGAAGTGTGGAACGGTCGAGAATAATTGAAGGATCTCAGCGTGGGGGGTCAAGAGACGAGCGACTTACTGATGTACTCCTCTATGACGCACTCTATCAGTAAGGTTTTGGCCAAATTTATCATTGACGAGATATGCTTAATAAAGATTGCGTTGACTTCAAGCCTCTTTACGCCGTAACCTTACACCCACTATCTTGGGAAAAGCAGCAAATGTGGCAAAACACCTCTGATAAGTGATATCTAATTACATTGTTCCATAACATCCAGGCTTTGTGCAGTCTCTTGATCATTCTCCACCCACCCCGAATCCATCTCCTCGTCCTCACTTGACAAGTTGCTTTCGCTGCCATCGTCCCGGTCATATCTGATTTCCTCACAACGCTCGCAGTAATCATAATGGATTTGCCTCTGCTCCTCAGTATAGTGATAGACGCACTGAGTATCGCTGTCATGGTACTCGTCACAACAATACGCCCTGATGCATTCTCCGATAGGATAATCAGCATCGGCGTCGACAAACTCCAACTGACGTTGATTTTGGTCACACCAACCGCAGTTCTTCTTCAACCAGTCAGCCGCAGTGCTATGTGCCCTCTGCTGGGCAAATGCAACAGAATTGATCAATTGTTGACGACCAGGACCCGTTGTAACAGCGCCATGATGCACCAAGAGTGCCAGCATGTCAAGTCTCCCGTGCTCAGCCGCCCCCTCCAACGCTGATCTGCCAAGTTTGCCTGATCCTCGTGCATTGATTCTAGCACCGAGTTCAATAAGCTGTCTTGCAAGTCCGATATGACCGCCTATGGCGGCGAATTGAAGAGCAGTTGCGCCTTTTTCGAACGCTGGTGGGGCATTGATGTTTGCTTTCTTTTCAAGGAGGTATACTGCCACTTTCATAAGCCCCATTTTTATCGCGCGCTGCAAAGGCGATGTGCATTCCCTTGTGGAGATATCGTATTCATCGACATCTGCTCCCTCCTCCACTAAGTATTGCGCTAGATCAAACTTTTTATGTGTGATCGCTCTCCACAATGCTGTTCCCAATTCCTTGCCGTATTCTGTGGCATTGCCGAGTCCGCAACTAAATTCTTTCAACAGTTGCAAATACTCAGAGGAACACGCACTGTGTGCAACAACGGCCCAGCTCACTGTATCCATCTTACAACCACGGCGAAGGAGCTCTCCAAAACCACAAGTATTCCCTCCGGAAGCGGCTAGGGCAAGAGGACTGCCCACGCTAAAGCACCGATCAGTGGCACGACGCCAAAAACCAGCAACCCAACCCCCCCCTTCAGTCACAGAATATACATCACTGGCAAAAATATGGTCAGGAATCCTTGCCAAACTCAATGCTGATGGGTCGGTGAATCGCGCGAGGAGTTTGTCTAAGATATCAAGCTGCCCTGCCCTAGCAGCCAAGCCCACGGCGGTTCCTTCCACCAGGTGACAGCTTGTCGGCTTATGAGCTCTTTTGAGAAGGCTTCTGACAAGAGCCCAGTCACCCGTTCGTAGAGACGCACAGAAGGGTCCTGCATCGATTGGAAGCTCTTGTGCTTCAAGAACGTCTTGTAGGGTTCGGTCATTCTGTGCCTCTATTTCGGCCTCTAGGCAGCCTCGTCCCGTGTCGTCAACATCGTTCAAGGTCCCACCGTTTTGTAAAAGAAATGAGACCAAGGACCATTCTCGAAGATAGATGGCTCTCACAACTTCCCCACCAGTGAGCCTTGCTCCAGCCTGCATAAGAAGCTTAACAGTGAGGAGGCGTTCAAAGGCTCTGTCTTCTAGTTTCGAGACGTATTCATCTCCATCTTCAATAAAATCGCTACTCAAAGCACACTGGAGCATCGTATCACCCTTTTCATCCACATCGTTTGGATTGCCGCCAGCCTCGAGTGCAGCTTTGAGACATTCGTGAAAGCAAAGCCTTGAAAACGTAGCCATTTCGCTACGAGGTATAGTGGCTCCATTCTCTATCAGTGTCGGGACACTGAATTCCAGAAGATTAAAATCAGATACTGAATGCATGAGCACGGAGAGGATAGGGGTCGGGTGTCCGTTATGACGGTGAATAAATTCGTGGTTGTCGCTCAATTTTAAGATGGTCGAATCTTCACCGTGGTATTGGCCGATGTTGAAGTAATCATACAATTGGATGTCGTGGGTGCAGAATAGAGCATTGGGGTCGCCTCCGTATTCGATAAGTAGCTTTACTACTTCCAAGTTTCCAAGGATAGCCGCGACAAGAATCAGCGACGCTGTTGAGCCTCCATGGCGTTCGAGAATATGTTTGCATACAGTTGGATCGCCCCCGACCACTACTGCCTGTAGAGGTGTAATGCCCTCTTTGTTACAAGCCACTTCGGAAGTATGCATAGCGTCCAGTCGCAGCATGATGTCATGATGTCCTTCATAGGCCGCGGCTATGTAAGCATCTGCTAGGGCTGAAGGTGATGGTTGGCCATTTAGTGAAAGGTGGTCCAACATCAAGTTCGCAATCCTACCACCGGCCTGGACTGCCATCATGAGAACTGACGGACTTGCAATGTAGCTCACACTAGATTGTAACTCACTTCGGTCTGCTGCATGTAACCATGAAGACTCATAGTTTGTAACGTCAATACCACAATCTAGGATACTGAGAATTGCTTCTTCATCATGCAGTTCGATAGCCGCACGCACCATTTCATCCTTGTTGAGAAACCCATGCTCAAACAGTACGGCCAGAATTCGCAATTTTCGAGAGTCAGAACACGGAGCATCTAAGGCCAAGTTGACAAAAACATCTCTCTTATCACTGACGTGTGTCCGATCCACTCGGGCTTGGAATCGGAGAAGTAACTGAATAAGCTCTAGACAGCCGGCTCTGGTTGCCTCCTGGATCGGAGTACATAGAGTCGTCCAGATTCGGTCATTCATGCAGCAAGGGTAATCCGGATCCAGTCCTAATTCCAAAAGCGAGGTGAGCGATTCAAGCCCCCGTGGCTCTGCTTTTTTGTCATATCGTGAAGTTGCCTTGTTGATCTCGGATTGGAATAATTTCTCCAGAAATGATTGAATGGTAGGGCTCTCGTTCCGGAGCTTGCTGAAGTGGGCTCGGAGCTCTATGTTGGCTGTTCCTATAAGGTCGACAAAAAAAGAGAATCGCTGGTCTGTTTTCATTGAATTTGACACCATGTACACCATAACCTTGAAACATTCGGCGCTGGAATCAGAGGCCGAACCAGTGAGCAGGTCTTGAGCAGTCCTGACGTGCTCTTCAGGATACCATTCAGGCATCACATTACTGATACCTGATATCAGCTTGGATAAAGACGTCGATTCCACATCTGTGCCATAAGGGGCCAGGATTGTCATCAATGAAGAAACAATGTGACGAGAGTCGTCATTCTGCTGAATTATCATGTCTTTGGGTACGATAACGCTAATCGTATCTATTCAACAAGCGTAAGCTAACTTGGCTGCCCCGGCCTTATGATGGCTTACCATTCCAAGCATCTCGCAGACGGAGCCACGGCAAAGAAGAAGGCCAGTCGAAGGTCATATACAAGGTTGGTGGAGTACAAATGCAAAGTTGCAGACTTGTTGGAGATGGTGGAGCTGTTATAGTCGTTAGCGCTGATCACTAAGTACAAATGTTTCGAACCTGTTTCGAATCGAGCAAAGATGTTTGTTTCTCGATGACGATTCGTCTCTTTTGTGACCTTTGGCTTTTTCAATTTCCTGCCACAATGTATGACATCACTGTCCTTTCCCTCTTCTTTGCGCTTGCGAATCTTATGATCAATGTGCTGCCATGTCGCTTGGTCGATGTATTTAGAGAAGTTCCAGCTCTTAAGTCTAGCTTCTAGCTGTCCTTTCCTATTATCAAGTCAATAATCTTTCCATAAAGTCGACCTCTAAGATACATACGTGGCATGTAGCCCTTGAACTCTTAAGAGAGTGATTAAGTCTTTGAGTGTTGTATCTTTGACTAGATACTCATACCTAATCAGGCTCCTGTGCTCCAGCCATTCCCCCTCGCTTGGCTGAGATTTCGTTGCGCACATTAGGGTGATTTGAGAGCGATAATGCTGACTGCGGGTATCGCTGACTCTTGTACGTGCCCAACGAGACTCTGCGTTCCCAGTTCTGATTCGTCTAATCCAGAATCTGGGGGACGTGCAAAGCTCGTAAGCCTCATTCCAAGCTTAGCGCTTAGCTTAAGACCCCTTTATTGGCTCTGCCCAGAATCTCGTCCGGGGGGGGGGCGTTCTGCATGAAGCTGTGCGACTTCAAAATGGGGTCTCATTCGTCAAATCCATAATCTTGCGGGTCGCAGCTCACAGCTGAACAGTACGTCACAGCACGAAAACAAATCAATTGGATTAATCCAGAATCTTGATCCACAGTAGGCGGCCTGACCTGATGCGACAGCACAATGACATGCTGCTAGAACGCGACGAATGCGTTTCTGCAACTGCGCCTCGTGAGATTTGACGAAATACAAGCTCTTTTATTTGGTGTCATTGGCATCTTTATTTGCAAATATAAATTAAGCCAGACCGCCATGGCCTGCTTACGAGAACTTTTTAAGATATGAGTGAAGATTTCTTCTGTAAAGATTGTTTTTTTTTATAAACTTCCTCCAGACCTTTCGCAAAATGAAAACCGAGATCATTATCGCAATCGTCGGCTTAGTGGTTGCTCTTCCGCCGACCCTATACGCTCTACATTCATGGTACCGGAGACACTCTCAAATTCCAGGTGGGTACTCAAAATGATATCCGCATTCTCGACAGAGCTAATCCGAGCCTTGATGCTTGTTCTAGGGCACCCATCTCACCAGGCGCATCTCTCCAGACGCTGTTCAGAACTATTGTGCTCCGTAACTGAGCAAGGCATTACGCTGGCACTACGGGTTGAAGACGGTCTACCAACTACCTCGCGAGAGCCAATTCTCAGAGTGTCCAACCCTGGCATGGCATTGAGCTGTTGAGTTGCGTGGGTATATGGTAAAAAGACATCTAGATTAGACCTTAGAACGTTCGGCCAATATGCCATTCAATCGTCATCTCTTATGGATGATAGGCATTCCTCATAGACCGACGCGTACATAAATACTCTTACTATCACTGGCGCATTTGTGACCTTTTTAGAATGTTATCGCGAAAACTTGCTGCAAAACATTGTCGGTTAGCGTCGGGATCGACATACTTATGCCAAAAATAGTTTCATTGCTTATCAAGCGATGATTATCAAGCTGGCCGGACCTGCAGGTGATGCTGAACCATTTAAGACGAAGAGAGGTATCTACTGGGACTGCGGTTATGTTGAAGCAACTTAGAAGATAGTTGCACGTCATGGCATCCTCAAGAAATGATCCCAATGCCCACTCACAGGGTATGACACTATCTCCAAAAAGTCAATTTGCGGGGTCAGCATGAGTCACTTGCGCCCTTAAGATGATATCTTGATAACTAATAAATACTTTTCATCAGCCCACAACCTCCACTTGAACATCATCACACATAAAATATAATGGCTTCTCTTACGAAAACTACATATCAGGCCTTTGCGTCGGCAAGGGCCCAGGGCAATCCCGCAGCCGTGATTATCCTACCGAAGTCAGAGGCCAGCCCAAAGGATGACAATGTCGCATTCCCATATGAACTATTCCCTCCTGCATCCAAGCTTCAAGAGACAGCTAAGAGCATCAATCTTCCAATGACGGCCTTCGCATTGCCTCTCGTTCCGGAGAATGAGTCGGCGAAAGCTCACTACGCGGTCCGATGGTTCAATCCCGTCAACGAAGCGCCGCTCTGTGGCCACGCGACTCTCGCCTTGTCGCAGCACCTGTTCAGTACCCTTCCCAATGCACCGCAGACGCTGAGGTATCTCACCAGGCTCCATGGTATCGCCTCTGCATCTCTCAACCAGAGCCCATTTGAGGATGCGAAGCTGGTTGGCATTGAGTTTCCAGAACTACTTGACCTTCCTTCCGTGTCAAAGGATGGGAAGCGATGGGATGAGTTGAAGAGTATCTTCGAAGCTGCATCTGGTTCGAAGTGGGAGGGTAATGGAGAGCCTGTTGGTATATTTGAGCAAGATCAGTATTTCTTGCTTGAGTTCAGTCCTGAGCTTGACTTGAAGGCTCTGGGGTTTGATGCCTCTAAGTTGGTCAGTTTATCACTATCATCGGCAGTCCAGGACTAACTTAGCAGGCTTCACTGAATGGCTTCATCTACATGTTCCAAGTTTCGACAAGCTCTTCAGAGCACATCCATACTCGAGTCATCAACTGCATAGCAGGCAACAATCATGAGGACGCCGCGGTAAGTATCTTTGTCTCTAAAATGAGCTTTACTGATATGAACAGACTGGCTCTGCTCATCGCGCTATCATCCCTCATGTCCTGTCAAACGCTGAGACCACTGCTCGGCTTAAGCAGTACCATCCAGACTTCACTGGAAACACGCTACGATCTTTACAACAGTCGAAGGAAGGCGGCGAATTAACTGTTGAGTGGCTTCGGGATACAAAGACCGTGAGGATCATGGGTAATGCCTTACGTACCGGCGAGACCAGCATCGAGATCTGAGCGGACCAGGACAGATCGAAAATGACCGACAGTAAGCTGAGTGGATTAAATAGCCATATTTAGTCACTATGGTACCTCCAAGGCTGCATTTGCCATATGTGGCGAAGTGTGCTCCGTTTTCCATGATAGACTCAATCCCAGACTTTTTACACAGTTTTCACTCTTATCACGAAGATATGCCGTTATGAGAACTTGGATTCAATATAACCTTGGCAACGGATCTGACAGCTTATAAATCGCATGATGGACGTCTGACTCACGCCGCTTTTCACGTTTAGGCTAATTCCTTCAGTGACTTCTCGGGATTCAGAATTGACCCGGGTGCAACATTCAGCTCAGGTTATAAGAAGCGAAAGACATTTCGCAATGCTTCCGAAAATGTGAATGAAATGGGCACTTATGAATCGCCAACTACAGTTTAACATAGCAGCCAATAATGGAGTTCAAACCAACCAGAAGCATCGTACACAATGAAGGCTGTGACCTTCACTACTGGTATCAAGGCTCCGGCCCTCTTATAATCTTCATCCCTGGTGGAAATGGTCACGGAATGCAGTTCAACAACATAATCGCCGCTCTATCAGACCGCTTCACCTGCGCAACCTTTGATCGTCGTCAAATGTCAGCAAGCCAAGTTCCCGTCAACAAACGCTTGAGTCCTCCCCAGCAAGCTCGCGATATTCGCGCCGTCATCAAAGCCGTCGGTTTCGATAAAGCTATCCTCTTTGGCAGTAGTTCTGGTGGTATCTTCGCATATCAATTCGCCCATGACTTTCCCGAAATGGTCGTCCACCTGATCTGCCACGAAGCCGGTCTTGCAATGCTTTTACCAGACGCAACACAGATTATTGAGTGGATGTACGGCCTTCTAGATCTTTTCGAAACGCAAGGCCAGGAAGCAGCTGCCGAAGAGTTTGAGAAATGTCTTATTGGGTATGATGCTGAGGGCATTCCCAAGGCTGGGCCGCCTGAACCAAGGAACCAGAAGAACTTTTGGGAATTCGAATGGGCGCCGTTAATTGGGTATTGTCCTAATATGTTTCGGATCAAGGAGCATGGGTTGAGTGTTGGTGTGATGAGAGGTGTCCGATGTAAAGATGCTTTCTACGCTAGAGCGATTGAGGAGCAGGCCAAGATCTTGGAGTGTCCTAGGATGACAGTTCCTGGACATCATGAAGGGTTTCGCTGTGAGACGCAAGAGTTTGTCCCATCACTGTTGGAGATGCTTGATATTTTGGAGAAGAGAAAGTAGCTAGACGTTCCTCACCGCCTTACGAATCAATCACTTGTAGTCGCCCTTGCCATCAACATCGTTAAGCTCTACCGCTAAAATCTCACAATACGACAAAGGATCCCGACCAGTAGTCTCCAGCTTATATGCGAGTCCTATCTAGCAGGATTTAGTCGATGAGTAGATATGCCACAAAAGGACATTGCAACTGACACTTCTGCCTCTTAGATTACTGCTGAAAGGGGTCATATCAAGTAGTTAAAGAGCCGCATCAACCAACTCATCTGCTAGGCCTAGACTCTTTGTACGCTTCTGTTCTTCCGTGACCTTATGGCGGAGCCCGGGATATCCCCTTCCTTCAACTGGTTGTGGACACTAGGAATCAGAATCGTTTGTCGGTGTTTTGTTCACACCCTAAAGCTTGACCTTATAGGCGGTAGTCATACGTACAGTTTTTCGGTCTGGTTCTAGTGCGTTCCAATTGGGGATCCAGATGTGGCGAGGCTGCTGCGTGAACAGGTGAAACTCAAATGTTAGGCATCAATAGCTCTGTGCTACGTGATGTAGCCCAGTGGCTACAGCTCGCAACCTTGATTGCTGCTACTAAAGCTGCACTGCGTATCAAGCCTGGTTTCTATGATAAGGTTGAAAGGTTAAAAGATGCTTCTGTGAGCTAGGCGTGCCATTTGCAGTTGAGACTCGTGGTTAGGAGCTTAAATCGGCTGAGAGAGCTTAAATATTTGAGCCCAACAAATCAAGATAAGGAACATGAATTACGTAGACTCAATACACGTCAGACCCCATATATTGCCTAATATCTTGTTTTTGGCAAAAAAGCTAGATTTGCCAAATGGTATATAAATAAGTGCCTGCTGCTCTTCCTTAAGATGCTTCAGGTCAAGGCACACAAAAAAGCACGCAGGTCCTGGTTTTATTTTGTCCAAGACTTTATATTACTACCGGGCTGTGAATATCTGACTCTGATTCTACTGAGACATCCCAGAACAGAAGTCCCTCACCACCTGTACCCCTCGACACCATGGCTCCACGCCCCTTTCTCAGTCTTCCGTGGGAACTGCGTGACAGGATCTACAGATTTTACTTTCCCACTAAGCAAGGCTACCATTTCAGCCCAGCATCTGGCAAGCTCACTGCCGCCGACGGCAAGCCGATCGACCTTGCCCTCATGTATACATGCAGCTTCATCGCTGAAGAGACCAAAGAAATGCCTCTCTTGTGCAATGATATCTTCTTCAAGACATTCTATCAAAAGGATCTTAGCTTGTGGCTAGGCCGTTTTGATAGACTAGTCGAAGCGCAGTTCCTACATCAGCTTCAGCTCCTCGTTCAGCTATGTCCCTTTATAACACCAGAAATGCACATCCGCATCGGGGACAGATTTCCATGGTTTTCTACTCACCTCCACAACGCCCTCGTTTTCCGTCGGGGCCCACAGCGGCTCTCTAGATCATGGGGAAGTGCATGGGGCATGCGGCCACTCCAGGTGGCCGCCATGCCCCCGAGCAACTATCTGTACCAGCAGATCTGTTCCAACGACCAAGCACATTCTGCACATCGAGCGGCTGTTGAGTTCACCTTGCGACTTCTTTGCGAAACTTCCGATGAACAGTTCATAGAGGATGTCAATGACATGCTTGTCGATTGGGAGTATAGCGGAGGTACTCGGCTCTCGAATTTCCTTAACCGATGCTACAAGCCATGGCGCTTTCCGATATCATTATGCGACCTTGATGAAATGGGACGTAGGCTTGGAGATGGTAAGGGATGGGCATGGATAAATAGGTGGGAGACCAGCGGACCCCATGGACTGCAGTATCGCCCACTCTATCGCTTCTCTGCCGTCTCAGCTGCCATAGGTTTCCTTGATGACCTGCCTATTAACAAGAGAGCATCTCTTCACAATATTATCATCCACGAGGATCGCGTATCTGAAGGCTATCCAGATGGGCATGCTATGGGTCTCATCCCATTCTGCCAAGAGAACAGGCGATTGCGGATTAGACATAACTTTAGCGTGGTAAAGAACCTTTTGCAGCGCGCTTGCTTTTATAGAGGATGCTTGGATGACATTCAGGAATATAAGAGCGATCCAAATGATATTGCTTTGCTCAGCTTCGCAGCTATGGATCTGTACCCAATCGTTGCGAACTGCCTGGCCGAAGCCATGTATCTGCCAGATGCTGGCATGCCCGATGGCTCTTATACCCTGGTACTAGACGGAGAAGATGCCGAAGATATGTGTTCTGAGATCTTTCAACAAAAGGTCCTCCGTCGAGAGGCCAAGTGGCTGGTCATTTCTCGGGCTCTAAAAGCAGCTCCCGATAGCGATTGGGCGCACGAGATGTCATACGAGATAAAAGATACCCCCAGGGCGCATGCCGGCGCTCTAGAACACCTCGTCAATAAGACGTCCTTTTTTGAGTCGAATTTCTATCCTGGACATCTGAATAACGTAGACGCATTGATGGCGCACTACAACAGGATTGGGATGAAGGCATGCGTCAAGGAACATTACTGGGGTGATGAACCTCATGCTTATGTCTTGACGGGATTGAGTCATACCCTCGATCTCACCTCGATGCTGATGGAGAATTTTGAGTGTCGGGAGGTAATGGCACCCGAGCGTACGAGTGAGAGAGATAATTCCCAGGAGGCAAAAATAGCTCAGCTAAAAGCTGAGATTGGATCGCGGTTGGGTATAGATGTGTCCTTCTAGGCATTGACAAGGATGCAATAAGGAAGATATAACATCATCAAGCGGAATAAGCGACGCTATAATACTATCATGGGTATTACTACCATACTATCGACAGTGCAGAAACGGATACCCCTCTTCATAGCTCTAATGTAGCCCTGGAACCTATTACCGCTTCTCTCATAGTCTATGCGTCACTTCAACCTCCTCGGTCTCCTCAAACTCTATGTATGGCATGCGCTTTGTCAACAGTGGGCTAGTCTTGCTGATCCTCTTCCAATTATGCGCATCAAGACAGGCTCTCCTCGAGGCCAGTACGGCTGGACGCGTCCGTGAAATGACCGCCCGTTCGTACTCATGCAGCGTGGATCTCAGATCGCCATCGCTGTTGAGAATAGGAACAACTCGTTCCACAAAGTCTTTGACATCGAAGATGACATGGTTTGCGCCCTCTCCCCGGTCTTTATTGTTAGCTACAGGTACGCAAAGATTGAACGATGAGTCTTACACATTGCCATTGAGTGGAGAGCATCTCCCATGAGCACAGCCCGGCCAGTTGTTTGGAAGTCCTTCGGAGGGGTCAAGTCTTGTATCTTGAGGCCTTTCATCTCGCTGTCCAACGAGACTGCGGATGCAAGAGGACGAAAGCACTCGGCCCAGGTGGAAGTCAACTCTTGAACCAACTTGTACTTCTCTTCTGGTGTATCCGGGATCTCTATAGGAGAGGCTCTATCCAGAAAACCTTCGCGATATGGCCACGAGACACAGAGTTGTCCGGTGTACGGGCGGTCAGTATTGGGATGATTGCCGGGCGCGTCAAGAACTAGTGGCTATCAGCAATGTCTATAGAGAGAGTAAAGTTGAATCGCTTACCACTAAAGTATACGAAGGTGTCATTCCTCGAGTTTGTGCTGTGAAAGAAGTACGGATCAAGGTCGCGAATTGGCTTAATCTCCGAGGCTGATAGCTCCATCTTGATGCCTAACATTCGAACAGGAATGTCTGTGAGCTTCCACTCGGGGAACATTGAGCGACGCACTCGTGAATGGCTTCCGTCACATCCAACGAGCAAACTCCCAGTCGCTGAGCTGCCATCCTCGAATGAAGCAGTAACAGAGTCGTCCGTCGACACGAGTCCGGCGACACCTTTACCCCACTGGTTTCCGGAAGTGTCAGTAGGTAACTGGACTCAGCAGCGCAACGTACCTCAATTTCAATCCCAGTGGCTAGCAGAGCTCTGAGACCCTGTCTTGTAACTCGGACACGTTCTGCCTCTGGTGCTTTAGGCACCGATGCCTTAAGCTCTCCTGTACTCAAGTCAAAGAACGGAAAGCTCGACGACAGGCCCTGAGTAACAGCTTCGCGATCAACATAAGCCTCTGGCAAGCGACTGAACAGGTGCTCGGGCAGAAGATCTTTCAATACGGGAAGCGTCCAGAGAAGGGTGAGACCCCATCCGACACCACGTGTTTCAAGATCCGTGTCACGTTCAAATACACGGAAGGGAATGCCCTGTCGTGATAGACTCTGTGCAAGCAGCAGGCCGCTTATACCAGCGCCTATGATGAGGACGGGTTGATCTTTAGTTGGAATCATTTCTATGATGAAGTATGCTTCTTGAGAGGAAATTTCCGAGGGCTTATTTATTAATTCTCTCACTTGCGTGTCAGATCGCTTATTCTTACATCAGACGCAAGGCAATTGTCGTGCCTGACGCGATGACTAACTCGGCTTAAGAGCGGGGTCGTGAGCCGAAGACTCCGCAGAGGCTCTGCTAACGTCCAGTCGGCAGTCGTATTTGAGCCTGAAACGCCCCCTACGACAAATAGAAAAAGGCCTCACCTGCTCTCTGAACCTTATTGCACTGATCAGCCGAGGACCTGGTTTCTCGGTATTGGTCCTGTCCTGGATGCGGCTTTTGGCTTGAGTACCTCTGCCGAAAGGGCCTGTTGTTCCGGAAAGCTCATGAACCTCAGTCTCAGCCTTTATTTTACAGTGCTCCTTCTTAAACTCGTCCTGGCGCGTATTTTAAAAGATCTAAGTGATACCTGCAGCCAAGGCTCCACCTGAAGAGGCGCCGCTGGTTGTCCTTGGAGGATGATATCTCCATACTAATGCCGCCTGACCTCAAGTCGCTCGATACAAAATGCCGAATTTAAGCTTTGCGAGTATTGAGATCGAGGAAGAATCTCGATTACTATGACTTAAAACAACAACTTCGCACTTGCAAAAGGCCGAGCCAGAGTTGTATTGACATCTATTGCTGTTCTCATGACATTGGGAATCTGCTTTGTTAAAGAAGCGATCACAGCCTGAGTTTTAGATGGATTTGTAAAGTACACGTCTCTTTTTGAGTTCTTCAGTAGACAAGTGCTACGCAGGATCCAGTTACTGCTCTGTATTTACTTCTTCATTGGTGTGTCATTCACCTTTTCTCTGCTCAGCTGAGAACAAATCTGCACACTGGTCCTGTGACATGGACATCTCACCCTCTCAGATCGGATCTGTCATATTTGAAAGGCCCAAGAAGGAAATACTATCGCAAACTACCTCGAATGAGCGAAATAAATTCCTTGCATCCTACCACGGACTCAGTGATCAAGCCACTTCGCCAATTCACCACTCAAGTCACAGACAATGTTATCCCAATCAGACAAACAATAAAAGCCATGCCAGCTCATCTCCGGACTAAACCTCATATTTCTGCAAGTCGTGCGTAGCTTGATGAAACGACCAGTCAAATGCTCTGTAATCAGCGAGTTTGTTGGTGGACGACACTAGTGCGGGCTTCATGTAACACAATCAGATGGTAGCGCCATGTTGGTGGGATTGTTTGTCTGCAAGCTGACTTGGCGTATGGATTGTCTTCAATCTGAGCAGGAACTCTGTGGCCATGAGGGAACACGATTAGTTTTACTGATGCGCTTTTTGATTGAAGGTGTTACACAGTTGAAAAGGTCACTTGATCTACTAGTTGTACAGCAGTAAGGAGAAGGGGGTTATGTGTTACATGCAGTGCTCTTTAAAGTTGAGCATTACCCGATGATTACTTTTACTTCTTCATCTCACACTTCTTGTATCCATTTTTCAGTATTCTTCAATCATGGAATCTACGTCGTTAATTCTCTACACTGGTGTCATAACCCTCCTGTATATCTGCATCAACAAATTCCTTATCAAACAATCGCGTAATGCACGGCTTCCTCCCGGACCCCGGGGTCTTCCACTTGTCGGCAATGTACTAGATCTCCCAAGAGCAGGTCAATTCGAGGCGCATCACTGGGCAAAACATAAGGACCTTTACGGTATGTTTATCAAGCCTGTTATTCTCTCAGATATTGACGAGGTACACGTCAGGGAATATCAGCTCAGTTACTGTCTTCGGCCAAACCCTCGTCATAATCAATGATGCGAAGTTGGCTCAGACCATCCTCAACGATCGCTCAGCCAAGCATTCCAGCAGATCAAAGATGACTTTCGCCGGTGAAATGTGTGCCCAAAACTGCCCCTCCACTATGAGGTTTGCTTGCTCATGAACAACAGGGTTGGCTGGGACAAGACATTAAGTTTCCTGCCATATAACGACCAGCTTCGCAGTCACCGCAAAAAGGCTCACCTTTGCCTTAAGTCCGAAGCTAGCATCAGTTCGAACGACACCATACAAGAGATTGAAGTTGGGCATTTTCTGCTGCATCTACTGAGAGACCCTGACCGTTTGGTCGAGCATATTCAGAAGTATGTCTTGGTTCAGACATCTGGTGACATTGCTGACATTTCCTGCAGACAAGCTGGTTCCGTAATCGTGAAAGTCGTGTATGGATATACCGCTGAGCAATTCAAACCCGATCCTCTACTCAGCACGGTACGAAAGGTTGTCGATGAGTTTGGCATAGCGGCCAAGCCTGGGGCTTTTATGGTTGACCTCATCCCGATTTGTAAGATGACAAAGGTCAAATAAGATGATCCTGTGTTCTAACACGTTCATTAGTGAAATATATCCCCGACTGGTTCCCTGGAGCTAGTTTCAAAACTACAGCAAAGCAGTGGAGGTCTAACCTCGAGAGCTCGGTTGAGGATCCCGCAGCTTTTGTCGAGCATCAAGTAGCCAACGGCAAGGATAACACATCGTTTCTATCTCAGCTGATGCAGAAGAAAAGCTTGACGGATCGAGAGGCTTCTGAGAATAAATGGCTAACGGCATCTCTCTACGCTGCAGGTGCTGATACGGTATGTTGAGTCTCAAGTAGACGATGTGACCAGCTGACCGATTTCAAGACTGTGTCTGCGATCACGACGTTCTTCCTCTCTATGACACTCTTTCCTGATGCTCAGAAGAAAGCCCAGTGCGAAATCGACGAGGTCGTTGGAACTGGTCGCTTCCCCACGCTGTCGGACAGACAAAGCTTTTCATACGTCAATGCGCTCGTGAAGGAAGTTCTCCGATGGCATCCCGTCGGACCAATGTGTCTTCCCCACACAACCTCCCAAGACGACGTTATCAACGGAAATCTCATCCCAAAAGGCGCGATGATCCTTCCCAACATCTGGTAAGCTCATCATCACTCCCCGTATCCAACAAATAACTGACACGGCTACAAGGCTAATCTGTCATGATCCCGCACTCTACCACGATCCAATGGATTTCAGACCAGAGCGCTTTCTTGGTCCAGAGGCTGAGACAGACCCGGGTCGATTTGTCTTTGGCTTTGGTCGAAGAATTTGCCCGGCGCAAGCCATGGCTGATAAAACGCTGTTTCTCAACATGGCGCAGACCCTTGCTGTGTTTGACATTGGAGTGAAATCAGGAGCTGAGATGCCCAGGGCTGAGTTTACGTCTGGGGTAGTCAGCCATCCGATGCCCTTTGAAACCACCATCAAGCCTCGATCTTCTGAGCATCGTGAGTTGATTGAGTCAATTGAGCGGATGCATCCATGGCAGCAGAGCGATGCAGACACTCTCGCAAATCTGTAGCAATCACGACAGTTGACGAAGTAGTGGTAGAAGAAGAAAGTCAACGCAT